CCACATGCCCCATGGTGGCTCATGTGTACTATGGGCCCACATGGAATATTATATAAAAAATTATTTTTAAAATTGAATAAAGCAATTTAAAATATATATTTGAATTTTTATAACTTTATAAGAACAATAATTGTATTTTTATAAGTCCAAAATTCACAAATAAAATATTGAGAAATTCATAAAAATTCAAATAATAAAACTAAAATTATTTCAATAATAAAAAGAACACAATTAAATTAATATGATGGGAAAATGATCCATATGGTTTTAGGAATCCAATATGTAATAACGGGGTACTCCACCTTCAACTGTGGACTACAAACCACAGTAGCTTTATCGAATCGACCCAGTATTTCCCATGACCCACAGTCCAAGCAGGGGCTCATTAGCGGGTCACCAAAGTTAGGTCGATGAATCAAGGGGTCGCAATCCCAGTGTGTGGATTACAGGTCCTCCCCTAGAGACGAGTCAAGATCACCACGACTTGATGCGACCACGGCTCTATGACACATAGGGATATCTCTCGCACATGCATACGCTTCACCCAAAGGTGAATATTTGGTTGTTCCGAACGATCTATCAATATGTATGCCGGTGATGGAACATGATGAAGTTTTGGCTCCCATCTCAGTAGGCCACCATCACACACAAGGGTTACACAGTCCCTCGACTCACTCATCCGGGCATGTTCTCCGACCTCATCAAGGGCTAACCCATAAACCCTCATCGGTTTGTTCTTCATGCCCAGGTAAAATGGGTTTTTCCTAACCGACTGGCTTAGATCGTTAAACACAGATCGGTATCAGCAAACTATCATTTGCTTAGTATGATCTACGATGGACCACACTCCCACTGAGTTCATGTTCTACTATATCATTTCATTTTACAAGCACTCATAAAGCCTTTAAAGGCCACATAAACCCAACATAAATAAATAAGACGGTATGCATTTATTTCAAATATTTGTTTATAGGTGTGGTTTATATAAGGCATTAACTTTCAAACAACCAAAGTAAGGCACACTTTCAAACACTACTAAAGATGCAGTCTTAGTGCCGAAAACCTCTTTGATGACCTAAATATCTATTTTTGTCACTATTGATGACAATTTAAAGTTCTAAAAATGTTGCAGATTAAGACATAAAATCTTTTTTATTTTCACATCCATACATATACAATATAATGGACTCGGATGACACGAATAGTATTCGGGAGAGAGATATTCGGGCCTAATGGGTCGGGTCTAGGTTCAAACACTAGACCTGAATACTATTCGTGTCATCCGAGTCCATGTGGACCCAATCTAAATAGTATTATTATTTAAATACTATTTAAATATAATAATATTTGAATGAATATAATGGCATATTTTTAGTTACAATATTAAAATAATATATGTATATATTTTATATAATATTTAAATATATTAAAATATATTTTTTATTTTTGGGTCGGTCCAATCAGATCCGATTTGCCACCCATAAAAGAGAGAGAGAGGAATCATCCTAGAGAAAGAAAGACATGAATGATCCTCGAGAGAAAAGTGGTATGCGACATTTGGTGGTGACTTTGTGTAGGACTATCCATTCGGTCTTACTTTTCATGACACAAATGATATGCTACATCTTCCTTGAATTGTACCTCAAAAAGTTCTTGGAAGCAAATTAATCGTGCTTTATTTAGGACCTCAATTTTTTTGGAGTGCACTCTCTTTTGCTCGTGCCAAACATTAGAGACCCACTCTCTAACCAATAACTCATCATTTCAGTTCACCTAGTCCTAGCGTAAGAAGCTGTCCAAAATCTTCCAAAGCAACTGAAAGGATTGGCTCAAAGTGGAACACCTGTTGATTATATAAGCTAGATCTTTCAACTTGCTTTTTAACTTTTTTTGTTGAGTAATGATTAAAATTTATTTTTTTAATAAAGCACCCGGTTTTTATGCATATAATCCCGCATATGTAGAAATACGAGCCTCTTAATAAATCTGTTTTTAGTTTGGATTTTAAGACTTAATTTTTTAAGATATGTAATCTCTAAAATGGAGATCATGAATATTAATAAATAAATAAATTTTAAAAATTAAAATAATAATTCTAGTAATAAAATATTTCGATCGTTAGTTTCCATTGTTTTTAGATGGAACACCTACTTGTATTCATATTTAAGATGGATGCTTTACACTTTCTATACTGCATATGTAAAAATGGGGTCCAACCCGTATGAAACAATTTTTCTTTAATAAATTTTCAAAATACTTATATTTTTTGAAAACTATATTTATTCCCATTTTTTAACTTTCCATAATTTTTATCAGAAATACACTTTATGGTTTTATTAGAACTATGATGACCCCGTATCCAACTCTCACACCTCAAGTTGTTTTATACACTACCTCTCAACTAATAGTACCATGATGGTTCAATGCCCTATTTTATGGATCGCCACGGATTATGGACCATTAGTATTGTGATAGTCCCCGTGTTGGTCTATAAAATAACGCGTTGAACCATCACGGTATTATTCCTAGAGTAATGTTCCAAAGAACCTTGATTATCACGACACTAGTAACACGGTTATGGGTAGAGCTTTTTACCCTAAAAAAAATAATAATAGAAAAAAAATACCCCGTAAATGTGAACCCCCTCCTTATATTTCCTTATACATTTGAACTCAAATCTCTCTTGGAATTCATCCGAGGCATACTTTTGCATCCTCTATCGAATCCAAGCATCAAATTCAACAAAAATTTCAAAAACCACATATTTATGCGTTTTCATTTTTTCTTTTCCTTTTTCCAAACTAGGGTTTGGCATAATATGTTTTCTTGTATGTTTTTTGCAACCCTAGGTTTATCCACCATTTAAATTTATCCCTAATCCTATGTTTATGATATTTCCATATTTTGTGAATTCCCTCTTCTTAATCCTGAACTTTCCCAAAATTTTGAGACATTTTAAGACGCTTCTAGGGACTCGGCGAGTCCCACTCATAACGTAGTGAAATGAGATGCTACAGGCACTCGCAGAGTCCGTTGAACACTAGACATGGCTAAGGATGTGATCGATAATAGAACCACGAGAGACAGAAAGGGGATATAAATGAGTGGTGTGTACATAGTGCTCTTGAGGGTGCATGCTGTCAACTTATTCCCTAAGTGCTTAGGAGATGTTTTCGATTTAAAATTTTGTGATCCACTTAAGAATCACAATTATTTTCTAAAAACAAGAAAAATTAATTATGTATTTTTAAAATTTTTCGGTGGTACATATTCAATATTTTTGCATTGGCTTTTTCAGACACTCACATATTCAGGTAAAATTTTTAATTTTTTATGAGGTTGGTTGCTAGGTTTAAACGTTAAATCCATACTCCTAGTCCAGATTTTTGTTACCCGAGAGATTAAATAGACAATATGACAGTGACCCGAATAACAAACAGACAGTATGCTTCCATGACAGCAAAGTTATGGATGAGAAGTTATGGGTGAGATTAATATTTAAGAGAGAATAGACTACGAGAGGGACATCGATATTACAGATGGTGAGTGTAGAGAGGAATGGAGGAAAGGAGATGTCTACAACGAGAGCACTAAATTTTTTACTTCAATTAACGGAGAAAAGGTTTTGACGATAATGAAATAAACCATTATACTTTAAAAGTTTTGACGATGATGAAATAACCCATTGCATTCTACATCCAATAGCTTTGGAAGTTGTGGGTTACTGTTCCAAATTACATATTTATTGTATGTGATCACTAATATAAATATGTACAAAGATACGTACATGCAAGCCTACCAAAAACTAATTTTTCAAAAGGAGTGAATTTAGTGTAAGGTGTGCCTTTTGCTTTGCTTTTAAGCTAAATATAGTTAGATGTGCTTCAAATCAATTTCTTTGAATTATTCATCAAGCTTTTTGGGGGCCATTCTATGTAAATGACTCCAAAAAATGCACCAACACCTTAAGAGAACTTGTACAATCTAGTTTATAGGCTAGCATAATTTTTTATATGCACACACAACACATATATATATATATATAATGGGTGAGGTTTGTCTAAGGCGCCCGCTTTATACTATAGAAGTAAAGTGTGTGTAGTTCCAATATCTAAATCTTATGATGGCTTTACATTTTACTTTTATCCGTACTTAATGAATTTTGAAAATTTTAAAATGGTACATATAGATCTGATTTATAAACTCTTGAGAGTAGATGGTCCAAATAATTTGTTATAATACATTATTTTTAGAACTTCAAATACTTTTCTTCTTCATATCCATATATCTCTATCTCAACCTGATAAAAATAAATGGAATTGATGGAGCCAGTGAAGCCCAACGAGAGTAATGAATGGAGACGAAAGATACACATAAGAACGAGATTCACGTAAGAGCGAGATTAAGCGAAAGAGACTCATGAGAGAGAGGGGGGGGGAAAGAAAGAGTCAAGATAGAGAGAGAGTGATGTGCAACATTCATAAAAGAGAGGAAGAATGTCAAAAGGATGAGGTTTCTATAAAGAATAGGCATTATGAAAACAAAATAAAGCCTCACCTCAACTCCTCATCTAGAAAGTATTTTTGGTGACGAAAATCTTTATAATGGCTTTAAAATCAATTTTCAACACCGATAATAAAATTTGAAACTTAAAAACTAGTACAAATCTTGTGGATTTGTGAACAATTATTTTTATAGTAAAATATATAGCTTAGATATTTTTTTTTAATAATATAAATTACTTTTAGAGCTTGAAATCTTAATTTTTTTTTCACAACTATAACACTCACGTTGAGATCGATATAACGATTTTCCTGTGCTTGTCTTTGCAATCTTTGATGAGTAACGAGGTGAAGATTTACTTATTTTGATAAAATTGCAGCCCTCTCAAACTATTTTTCTAAAAAAAAGAATAATAGATAAACAGAGGGGAAGAGAGAATCATGACAGAGAAAAAGGGAGGAAATAGAGAGTGATGATAGAGAGAGAAAGACATTGTAGATAGACAAAGTCGTGATGAGATTAAGATTTAGTTAGAAGTACAGAAAAATAAGTCATTTCAAATCTGTGTGGCACCGGCCCACTTTGCTTTGTTGGCCTTGGCCTTCCTCTAAAGTTTAAGACTTACTTCTCTCTCATGTTAAAGTCTATGACTTTTCTTTACAAACTTTAAAAAAAAAAAAATTTAAAATTAAAATTAAAATTTGTCACCACTCTTGACTCTCTCTCACTTCTATCCGCCTTCCGCTCTTGGACACGGGCTAAAATCCAAATTAAAAATTTGAATTTTTTTTTTTAATTTTATAATATTTATATTTACTTTTCGATTTTGCCAGGAAACTTCTTCTTTCTCTTTCTTCTTTTTCTCTCTAAATTCCACAAACGTCCAAAACCCCCCAAAATTTGAATTCCCCGGGAAAAATGAGAAAACGCCGGCGATAACCGGTTAAAATTCCGGTATTAGGGACACGTGTTCAGCTCCCATCAAAACATTAACCCAAAAGTCCATCCCGTCGTCCTGTTCCGTACTGTACGGCCATGCAGCCCCCCCTACGGATACTGGAGCGACCGATAATTGCACGGCGTGGTCGCCGGAAACGTTAGAATAGTCTTCGGAGAAGTTGGTGTAGTAGCCGGAAAACTTCTCGAGGTTGCCGGAAATTGAGACACGGGGATCATCTACCAGGAAATCATCGATCCCAATCGAAGTTTCGGGCCAGTATTCGCCGCAGTTTTCGGATGTGAGAATGGAGGAATCGGTGCTCGAAGATTGTTGGGGGGAAACTGGGTTTTGGTTAGAGTATTGGAAACTTTGTTGGGTGGCCATGACTTGGGTTTCTCTCTGTAGATTTTCACTCTGTAGCTGGGCGTCGGCCTTTGGAATTTCCAGATAGAGTTTCTTGTTTTCGGAGGACTCGGTTTTTGGTAGACGCTTTTTGAGGTGAGTGTGCCACACGTTTTTGATTTCATTGTCTGTCCTTCCTGGCAGTCTTGCAGCAATTGCAGACCATCTGATAATTAAAAGAGAGAGAGAGAGAGAGAGAGAATTATTGTCTGGTACCTAAGGAGATTATAAATC